GAGGATAAAATAATAATCTTTAAATGACCACAAATTGAGTATTACATTATGCAAATTTGTGAAAAGGATTTCTGTACTGTGGAGTCTGTTCCTGAACAACATTTATTACCTGTCTTCTATATGTAAGATTCTGGAACAAGTTCTGAGTGAGGGCTGAAACCTCGGCCCAAAAAAGGGCACAGACCCAAGCATTTGGATCTTAGTTTTAGATCAACAATAAAAGTCTAGCTCAAAGACCAGATCATCAGAAACCATCCAATCCCTCAAATGTCTTCTGGTAGATATTGAACTATGATCCCCTTGGCTTACCTGCTCTTCTTCCACACTTCAAGTACTGATCTAAAATAAATTTTCATTGGTTTGTCTTCACTTCATTACAGTTTCAAAACGATCAAGAGCTGCAACAGGCTCTGAAATGGGTACATGAATTCCCATGTGCCTGTACTCGCTGGATGTGGGGGAGCAAAGCCTTCTTAATGGTCCATGATCCTGATTACCTAAAGGTGATTCTGGGGAGATCAGGTAAGGAAAACTGACAGCCAGCTGGGGAAGCTTCTTTCTTTTTGTTTACATTCTAAAAGATCTCAGATCAACTATAAATATATGAATATCTTCCCCATATCAAAACCCAACATTTTTATCCTAGTGTTGGACATTACAACTGTATGGAGTTGATATTACTTCCTTCTTTCTCTTCTTTATTACATTTCTTTCCTTCCTTTCTTCCTTGAATTATATTCATCCTATTTCCCCTCCCACTTTTCTTTCTCATATCCTTCCTTCCCTCTTTCCACATTATTCCATTCCATTCCATTCTGTTCTTTGCTGTTCCCTTTCATCATTTTTCTTTGGCCAACTCCCTCCCTTTTGGCTTGCTTCTTTCCCTTCTTTTCTTCCTCCTTTCCACCAAACTGATATGCTCTGTGATGGACACTGTCCCATGAGTAAAAGAAAACATGTTTATCCACACTGGAGTGAGTCTCATAGCTATTATTTTTGCCTGTTGTGGGATATAGAGTGGCAAAGCTGCTAGCTGCTAGCATTTTTCACTGACCAATTCTCTGCCCTAATCCGCTGAGTTTCTGCTCAAGGTACAATGAGCCTGCCTCCCTTTCACTCACATTCTAATGACCTTCCTTACCCTTCAGATCCAAAGGCAATGGGATCCTACAGATTGCTGAGCCCTTGGATTGGTATGTATAAACAATGACTACATTCCACTCATCAGGTAAATTTGTCACAAGTCTTCTCTTTGGCTCATAAAGAACAACAGCTGTCCAATTACCACTATCAACACCCCTAAATGTGAATCAAGCCTCGTTTCTCCACTTTTCCAAGATCCTAAGCATAGTATCTTAGTGGTTGGATTCTCTAATAATTCTGCTCCTTCCACATCTGCTCCCAGTTTAATCAAAATGTTAAATCTGCCCCTCTGATTAACATTTTCAAGTTTCATCACACAGCTATCATAATCACATCCCATGTACCAGTTAAACAGAAAACTCAGCATTCCTAAAATGGGGCTTTTAAAAATTGTGCAAATGATGTCTTCAGCTGTTTCTCTTCCAGGACAGCTTACTCCCTCCCAAATTGTCTCAAATAGTTCCTGTGAACCCATCACCCCAGCACACACACACACACACACACACACTCACTCACTCATCTCTCGCTCAGGCGAAGGTCTGCTCCTGTTGAATGGGCCGACATGGTTCCAGCACCGACGGATGCTGACTCCTGCCTTCCACTATGACATCCTAAAGCCCTACGTGCAGCTCACGGCTGACTCTGTCCAAGTGATGCTGGTGAGTGGGTCTCTCTCTCTCTATTTCTCTCTCGTACCCACACACACGCTCTCGCTCACAGACCCCTGCATGCCCTCTCAACACATCTTCTCACAGTCTGTTCTCAAACACACTGACCCAGGACATCCATAAAACACAGAATGATACTCAGACACACAAACATGAATATTTCCCCTGTTAATATTTGAGGGGGTACCCCCCTACCACCAAATAAAGAATAAATAAAGGAATTTTTTTCAAACCTATATATTTAAATTTTTTTACAAAACAACTTTATCACCTTCAACGTATTCTCCATTACACTTAATGCATTTGTTAAATCTGCAATTCCATTCTTGGAAACATTTTTCAAACTCATCTGTTTGGATGGCTGGCACCACCCCTGTTTTTTCCTTCACGTTTTCTACATTGTCAAATCACTGTCCTCTCATGTCCCTTTTCATTTGTGGAAACAAGAAGAAGTCACACAGAAGTTGTTAGGTGAATAAGATGAGAGTGGGTAGGAAAGAGGGAACCGATTGCAAGGAACTATATGTGACCTCCTACCTGGAGGATGGACAACAGAAAA